ATATATATATATATATATATATATATATATATTTATATATATATATATATATATATATATAGTTTAATTCAATCATTTTAATAATCAGTATTCTTTTTAATTTACCAGAAACTTCAAAATAAATTCTCACCCTGTACTGAAACCTGTTTCCAAGGTCTCACCGCCACCAGCTGGTAAGGCACATGATGTCAATTTGAACCCCGACCACTGGAACAGGTACTGAAAGGGGCTATGGAAACACAATGTGTACAGTACCGAGTTGAGTTGAACCGTGCTGTACCGGTACTAAGAGGTACCATGGAAAAGCGGCAATAGAGACAAATGAGACAAACAATCATTCACTCTCTCACTCTCACAATTTAGACAATTTAGAGTTACCAGTCAGCCTAACATGCATGTTTTTATTCTGTGGGAGGAAACCGCAGTACCCTGAGAAAACCCACGCATGCACAGAGAGAACATGCATCTCCACCCAGAATGGCCCCCTGGCCGGGATTCGATCCGGCAGCCTTCCCGCTGAGAGGTGGCAGCTCTACTAACTGAACCACCGTGCTGCCACGATACAGATTAATCACAACAAAATCTTTGAATTTTAATTTGTTTGTTTGTCCAAGTATATAAAATTGTGATTGCTAGTTTAAAATATCCAACAATTATCAGTGTTTTTTACTGTCTTTATTTTTCTCAAGGAGTCCACCACACCTCCAGATACTCCATCTTCTACCCAACCAGCCAAACCGCCCTCCCCTCCACAGTCTAGTACGCCTGTCACTTCTCCATCAGTCACCCCAAGCCCCAGCCCCAGCCCCAGTCCCAGTCCCACTGGTTCTGGATCATCAAGGGTCCTGTCGACCTCTGCGAGCTACGAGCAGCTGACCTCTAGCTCCGTTGTCAACGGGAACAGTGGTAGTAGTTCAGCAAAAGCAGAATCAGTAAGGAAGACGAGCCTGGCGGATGTTGAGGCGCTGGTACCCACTCATGACGAGCAGGGCAAAGCTATCCCTGAATGGAAGAGGCAGGTGATGGTGCGAAAGCTTCAGGCCAAGATGCAAGAGGAGGAGGACCACAAACAAAAGGTAGGTACTGTGTTGCCAGGCTACAATGAGTCAACAAGTGTTGCTGTGGTTTGGCGATCCCTTTTGTGTTTCTTTTTTGTTATGTTACTTATTTGTGGAAAACCTAACACAAAAGGGAAAAGCAGTGTTTTGATTTGAGTGGGAATTTCTTAATGTTGAGTTTGGATGTGATAATGAATTGATTTTGTTTATTTTTTGTATGAATATGCATGACGTAAATTAATTTTGATTTAAAAGCAAAACACACAAAGCATTAAAGACTGAAAATTCATGTTACCATTTTCTTTACAGTTAATAAATAGTGTTGGCTTTAGGCTCATGCAGTTTATCTTCAGAATAAAACACCACAACCACTGTTAATCATGAGAGTTTCAGACAGGATATAATACATATTTTTGCATTTATTCACTTTAGTCTCACGGACACATACCACTCTACTTCTCTTAATGTATGTTAATATCATGTGTCGTTAAGCTCTTGAATAATTATTCAGATTGGAACAATCTAAACACTCATTAGCCATACAAATTAAAGAAAGACTTATTCAATTAATTTAATCACTTGTATAACCAAAGACTGCAATCTTATATAGTTTCTTTGTATTTATTTATTTTTTTTGGTAATGAACACATGAGGATTTTAATTTACTGGAATAGTGAAGAACCAGTAAAACCTCTAAAGGTTGTAATGGATTTAGAGCTCCGGTGGACAACAGATAAGGATAATATAATTTCACCTGTAAAGAACATATTAAACTGTAGCTCTGTGTCCTTATCAGTGTGCTTCATGATTTGTTTTGTGCATGTTTTTATATATTTTTATAGATGTTGTTAAGAGACTTTTTGGAGTGAATTGAGTTGAATACTTGGCTACAACAACCATCACAGCATTGGCACACTCGACTGAAGTGCTCATAGTGTGGGTGTTTGATGGTGCAGTTTGGTGGCTTCAAGTCCTTACATGCAGATTCAGTGGTGTGATGCCCGGCCCATTCACACTACAGGGTGACCGTTAATGATGAGGATATGGAAGCATAAAAATATATATATTCTTTGTGGAGCACTTTGAACTGTTTTGTGATACTGCAAATAAAATACAAGAGCAGTGTTCAATTAAACATCAGACAATACTATTTCTTGATTTTTCTTTTCCAAAGGGGGGTAGTTTGCATGAGTCATGATCTGTTATAAAGTAATTTCACAGCAAATCGTTTTTTTTTATCTGAAAACATCTGAAAATATTGAACAGTTTAATTCCTTTTGCACCTCCTGTTACCCAACATTAAGGGTATACGTTCAAGTTTTTTTTTTTTTTTCTAATACATTAAACTGTATTAGAAATCTAGGTGCAGGTTACCTCTGAACTTACGTACCATTGACCCTACTGTTTAGTCCTAACATTGTATTTTGTTCATTCATGTTGGGAGTAAACGTGTCATAATTTGTGATGTAGCTGGAGGGCAGACTGTTTGGGCTAAATGGCACTTTAAACAAAATATTAAGAGCTGCACTAGCAAAGAACCTCCTAGACGTTGGTATTTTTTGGGGTGAACATGTTAAATATTCACAACAACCATTGTAATCATTGGTGCTGATAGTCTGTTGTTAGCCAGATCATTAATTTTACATCTTGTTCAAGTTATTTTTTAAAGCAACTGCTAACAGTTGACAGATAATTAGCATCTTGAAGGGTGTCCCATTTCATAGTGAAAAATTTTGTCCTCTGTTCCATGTAAGTTGAAGATGAAGGCCAAGGGATAGTGTACAGTAGTCCCTCGCTACTTTGCGGTTCGTTTATTGCAGATTTGCTATGTCACGTTTTTTTTAAGTAAGATTGGACATGACACACAATTGGCTGATTGATGGATGAGCCGCACGCCCCGGCATGGAATTTTTAGTTTTAAAAAATTATTTTAAATTATTTAGCACCTGCTGCACCTTTGTGCAGCCCATACTGCAGGATAAGCGTCCTCCTGCAGCTGATCAGCTGTTCTCCATGCAGAGCAGAGAAGTGGGCGTGGCCAAGAGCCCTTGTAGGTGGCAAAGAACAGCAGAGGTAGGGAGCTGAACTCATGACATGCTGTGCTCTTTTAGAGCGCACATATATATATATATATATATATATATATATATATATATATATATATATATATATATGGCACAAAGGGCCTGTGATTGGAAAATAGCAGGTTCGACTCCCGGTATCGTCAACATCAAAATGTGGGTGGAAAAGATGAAACACCCACACCTGCCTCCACCCTCATTTGCCCTACTCTGGGCCCCTGAGCAAGGCCCTTAACCCCCACCATTTGCTCCCAAAGAGACTATCTGTATAAATAAAGGGTAAATGGGGGGGGGGGGGGGGGGGGGCTTCCCACACTCTTGCAGTATTCTAAATAATGTTTCTAAACTCTAAATGATCTAAAAGAGCACAGAATATCATGATCTCCGCTTTCTCTGCCACCTGCCAGCGCTCTCGGCCACGCCCACTTCTCCGCTGCAGAGCGGAGATCAACATGCTGCAAGAATGAACTTCTCCCTTCACATGTGGGCTGCACACAGGTGCAGCATGTGCTAAATTATTTTAAATTATTTATTTTAAATTGAAAAATCCATGCCAATCATGTGGCTCATCCATCAATCAGCCAATTGTGTGTCATGTCCAATCTTATTTTGAAAAGCCGCGTAAGAGCGAGTCCACAAATGTCAAACCACAAAGTAGCGAGGAACTATTGTATGTCTATTGGATAAAAACTAAGAAATGGTATTCAGCTTTAAACAATTCTCAGGTCATTTTTCCATAAACAGGGGCAGATTTTTATCATTTTAATCATAACTCCATGTTGCTAGTAACTTGTTATCTGACTTGTAAGGGAAATTAACGTTTAAGCTAATTCTTTAAGCTTGTTGTGTAAGAGCAACTATACCAGTACAATACAATCAGAACAGAACAAACTGGAGATCACAATGGTTGTTGTAACTATAAATTCTGGAGAAAACTTTCACATTTGTGTCTTTGCTATTGTAACACTAACGACACTCTAAATTGTGCCTATGAAAGCTCATTTGAAGGGTCAGAAATCCCTACCATTCAACCCTCCTCGTACACCACAGAAGAAATTGGGAAACACCTACCTCTTATAGTGAATTTACCAAACATAAATAAAGTTAAATGGGAGGGCCATAGGGAGAAATGGAATCCCCTTTTAACACTGTTATAACTATAACTCAGGGTTTCTTTTTAATTAGGTCACAAAGCAGATCAGGTCAGAAGGGTCAAGTATCTAAATACAAATAAACTACTTGTAACATATCCTTTACTACCTTTGTTGTTCTGTGTAGCAAACATTTAACCTTTTTTTATTTTTATTTTAAAGGACAAAGGGATCTGTGTTCACTTTGATTCTAAATTACAGTCAAGAGTTTAGTGCCTTAATGAGGCTGTGCCATTGCACCACTAAATCCATGTAAATCCTGTGTGTTGGAATGGATTTGCTCTGAGGCTTGTTTTTATACCTGGAACAATCTGCTGAAGAAATTCTTCCGTCCTTCCTTTTGTTTTCTTGTCCTACTGGTCTCCTTTGACATTTCATGTAGTTTGCATCAAGTGGGCACTACCAACCTCAAGAATGGCACTACTCCCCCACCCACAATGCCATTTTGGGCCCGTTTGGAGAACTGATGACCGAGGCTGATCTGAATCGAATTGAGAAACAAATTGAGAATCTGCAGGTCATGCATAAAGTATCAGAAGTGGAAAATGAATTGGAAGAACTAGAGCGGGAGCTTCACCAGCTTCTGCCAGTTTCGACTGCTCTTAATCAGGAGTACTTCTCAGTCAATCCAAAGCAAGTGCATGGCCAAGCTGAGGATCTCCCAGCCTGGTGCAGCAAGATCTCCACCCTGCTCAAGAGTATGGCAATTCTACTTGCGACCCTGGGAGGCAAAGAGATAGATGTCTTAGAGCTTATACTTCCTGGATATTCTCAAGAAGAAGCAAAAAATACAAGCACAAGCCCGTCTCAAACATCTGCTACCACTGGATTTATTGGACGCTCTCAGTCCTTCTCAACCAGAGAAGAAGTGGAACGGGAAATCAAGCAATGTGGAGTTTCAGTGAAGAACCTTAAGGCTAATTATGAAATTCAGAATGAGACACAGTCTACAAGTGACCAAGCTAATAGGGTTTACAAGCGCAAAAGGTCTCTGCCTGTAGTAAGTGAGTGTGATTATTGTCTAGAGACATCTTGTAATGATGATGTGCCTTGCGCCGCAGCTCCAGTGCTTGACGTCAATACCAGTGGACCTTCAGTGGAGGAATTTGATTTACTACTTGTTGAGGAACCACTTATTGTGGCATCTCATGTTCCTCTAACATATGCTTCCTCTGAAGCAATGGCTTCAACCAACATTCAAGAGTTCAACCAGGCTCTTTCTTCAGACCCCATTTTAAATAATGACCAACTAACTAGAAGCCTGGAGGTACAGACAGACATGAGCTATGTCCAAGAGTGTGTTGAAATGAGGAAGGAGAGAATTGTCCTCTTGTTTCTTGAACACTGGCGGAAGTATACCATCTCAGAATCTTATCAGACTAAATATACAGGCAGGAGAGGAAACTACTTAGATGTTGGCTGTGAGGACCACAGCCAGTTTAATGATCAGGTTGATGGAGAAATGCACAATGATGATGACAAAATGCTCTTGTTCATGAAGTCAAAGCAAGTTGTAGGGAATCTGATTGGCCACTGGAGAATAATCATGAGCCAAGTGCCCACTCGTCAGATCCGCAGGCTGAGTCGTGCTCAGATGATGTACTGGCCAGAGCACTTCTTGCCACATATTAATGGATCACCTGTCAGTTATGAAAGTTTAACCCTTGACCTCTTCATGCTTGGATATTTCCAGTTACTGGAAATGAACATGTCTCGTGGTGAGAGGAAGTTTCGCCACCTTTTGTGCTATGAGATGTTTGACCGTCTTGGCAGCCATAAATGGGAG